TAAGAAATTGAAGTAAAAACAAGTTAAAGACTTAAGAAATTGAAGTAAAAACAAGTTAAAGTAAAAATAAGTTAAAGATTAAAATATTTCTGTTAAAGACTTAAGAAATTGAAGTAAAAACAAGTTAAAGATTTAAGAAATTGATGTAGAAACAAGTTAAAGTAAAAATAAGTTAAAGATTGAAATAAAAATAAGTAAAAACAAATTAGCTAATTATATAGCTATTCCGGAAATTTTCGTTTAAAAAATTTTCCTTTTCAAATTTCACATCTTACATTTATTTTATCCTTGCATACATTTTTTTAATAATGATATCTCATTTGATAACCTTTTCTGAATTTGTAATATTTTGTACGATATCATTGAGAAATTTCTTTAAACCCATAATTAATTCATTCGATTGTTCATTGCTTAAATTTCCATAAAATTGCGCAAAATCATCACGTTTATGTGCCATACGTTGAACAATTCTTAATGCTATATCTGATCGTGCATTTTCCATACAAAATAATATGATTGACTGGAAAAAAAAAAAAAGGAAGGAAATAGTTTATTCATTAATTTAGATTATAATTATTTATTAATTTAATCTGCAAAAATTTAAGCTAAATTTTGTTAGCTTAAAATGTAATTCCAAAAGTTTGGAAATTTCAAATATCAAATGACCGAATAGACTTCTTTACACGTGAGATACTGCTAATTTCAATCTCTCTCGAGAATTTTCGTTCGTTCTAATTCACTTATCTTGCTTTAAGCTTTTGACCTTTAAACCTTTCTGTTAATCTCATCTTCAGCATTGTTCAGTTCAGGCGTTTTTTACAGTTCAGCCATCCCTCTTTCACAGCAGGGTAAAATGATCTGATTGACAATCGGGACATTTGAAGACGCATAAGTTCAAATATTTTTTGCTTTGCAGGAATATGCTACAGTAACGTATACGTTGTAAAAGTGATTTTTTATAGTTCTTTCGAAATTATTAAAAATACCTGTGAATCCAATGATAAGGAAGGTGATTACCTGTGAATTCGATGATAAGGAAGGTGATTTAGTTGTTAAAATATTTGAAGAATGTCGCATTGTTGGTATCATACGATCATTTTTTCTACCACTACTACCACTACTGGCTATTTGTGGTGATTTGACAATATCGGTTGAACGTGGCCTTCGAGTGGTCTGTTTTCGAAATTTATTTAGAAAAATTAAATTCATTGTTGAAATTAACTTTAATCTAGCATTTGTTAAGAGAAAGTTGGAAAGAAATATTGAAATAGTGATGAAAGGTGAAATTCAACACCTTTGCTAACTCTGAATTCATAAATTTTATCTAAACTTTCAACCCTATTTTACATTTGTCCCTTTTTTTTAAATTTTACTTCAGGATCAAATAAAATAAATTATAATTTCATTGATTATATGTGAAACTAAAAATTCCAAAAGTATATTTGCCATGTCTAATTAATTTCATTTTTAACAGATGAATGTTTTGTATTAAAATTTAAATTCTTAATCAAATTTTATATCTTAATTAGATTACAAATATTTTTATCTTTTCTTTTTGACATAAGAGTTTC